ATCGACCCCCACAAATCTACCAGGAAAACCACCATCTTTGTAATAAGAGTAATTTCAGTCCCAGACTGCAGACTATCACTTTATCGTGTTAAACTCCCCATATGACACTGTACAACTTGTCATCATAAATATGATATCAATCTTTCCTTGGTTGCCTGCTTGCCATGTAGGCAAAGGTCATGGGCTCATCCTCCCAACATCCTGGCAAATTTGACTCCAAAGTGCTCTCTATTTAACTCGTCAGAGGGATGGGAACTAGGCCACTGTAGCATGATGTATTTATGACACCATTCTCATAAGTGCTCTAATGTGAATTAACAGTTAAATTGTGTCAAAGTTACTGGCATTATATTTCACTAAGTTAATTTAAAAAACATAGAGTATGCCTACCTCGTACATGTTTTTCAGATATTCTTTGCAAAATAGGTCAATTTTTAGATTGCCATGATCATTTACCTTGGATTTTTTCTTCAGTTCAGTTTATTTCATTTTTGCACGGCACCAACTTCAGCCAAAGGCTGTTCTTCTGCATGTCTGTGCGCAATTTCATCTTCATATTTGCTTTAAATAGAAGAATATAATAATACTTTATTGCAGCTGAGCTTAATCAGCCTTTTTTCCATTAATTCACTCTAAGTAATAATCATTGCAGTCACGTTGATTTATTAAATCTTTTGGTACCCCCAAATTATTGTTACTTGATAAAGCACTGACTAGATTGCAATAGATTAAAATGCTGATGGAGTGTTCTTATTTTTTTTAAATATGTCCTTAAAAAATAAAAATTCTTCAAAATATATCACACGAGCTGCAAAAGGTTATGGAACATCACAGCTTCTGAATCAAATTGGGTTCAAACTTGACTCCAATAGTTTTTGCCGAGCTTAGTTTAAAAGTTCATCTCCATTTAGAAAAAGGAAAGTGTCAAAATGCTTCAAAATTTGCTAGCCTTTGATCATCAATTTGGATCGGTGTGAGAAAATTCACTGTCCGCATTAACCAATTGACTCGGGCGTTATTCCCAAAGCAGAGCCGTTCTCATCCGCGATGATTTGATTTCCACAAGATCTGCATTCCATCAAGCCAATCTCTTATCCAGATTTTCCAAAAACAGACACATTACAAATGTTGTTCTATGTGTACATTATTTTGAATATATCTACTAAGCAATATTCTTAACTGTGTAATGATTTTGAAATGTACAATTTCTATTTCCATCAATTCAATTAATTAAAGATTATTATAGAAAATGGGAATTTAGACATTTCTCTCGTTTTGAGGCTAGGATTTTGATTAATGTCTGTGGGTGGGGAGGGGGGGGGGGAATGGTAATTGGCTTGTGTAGAGTATACTCATTTTACTAAATTTGGCAGATTTTCCCTAAACTTCGCTTACACGACAGAGACAAGTATCATCACAGTGTCTTTGATTTTCATGTTCCAGGAGACTTGTGGTATTTTGTTGGCAGTAACTACAAGTTTCCTTTTCTGATGAATTCAATTCTGGCACTGTAAACACAGAGTGGTGAAGGGAGTAAATTTAGCTTGACATTTTAAGAAGAAGTCCCCTCCTCTCAATGAAAATTGGGCAGAATTCAAATATTTTGTCTGTTGAGAGTAACCTTTTGCAAAAGAATATAAGTGAACAGCAGGCCGGCCTTGTGGGGTGATTGGTCCTTTCATAAAGAGGTGGCTGGTGTGAACAGACCTCTTTATCTCATTCTCTCATCTTGAGAGGGGGGAACATGGGCCTCTTTGTCCCTTCCTCTCTCTCTCTCTCTCTCTGACAAAATGATGTGGACAAGCTGACCTCCCTCCACCCATGGACCTACTACATGCTCCACCCTACTTTCCAGTGAAGCATACATGCCAACTGTTCAGATTAAAGAGGAACATTCCTCTTTTTGGGAGAATATAATTATCATTTTAATGCAGGTGTTCCTCTTCCTGTACAAATTTGTCTGTAGTATTGAATAGGAGAGTTAGGATTGTTCCTCTTTTTTTTTGAAAATAGCATAATTTGTACAGATTTCTGATTTTCAAATGTTGGCATGTATGGTGAAGATTCATAACGTAGTTCACAGGTTTTATAGCGGTACATGAATGAGGGAAGAAAGGTATAGAAAAGAGAGAGGGAGAGAGAGAGAGATCAGAAGCAATTCTATATGCACATTGCATGCACCCAAAATGGATAAAATAGAAAAGAGAAAGTAAGAGTGGTAGAGAGAGAGAGAGAGAGAGAAAGAGAGAGGGAGAGAGGATGAAGAAGTGGAGGTAGCAAGAGATTATCAGAGGGATAGAGATGTCTGTTATTAAAAGAAAATGGTTTTGAGACTCTATATTGAGTCAAGCCAGGAATGCGCCAAGGTAGTGGAGATGGTGCACAAAAATCATGTCTGCCAACATTGCACTGATTGTAAAAAGAACTTATGTTTAGAGGCAATGCTTGGAAACTATCCACTTGTATTACATAGGTTTAGATATCAGATAGAATTGTAATATAATAATAATATTGGATATTTATATAGCGCACATATCCACCCTGCTGGCCTGATTGCATGTACAACCTATATCAATTTTTTTTTTTTTTTTAAATGGGGAAATTAGAAGTAGGTTGTTTACAGTTGATGAAGCTCATAGTGGCTGAATGAAATTGTCTTGATGGTGGACCTGACTGATTGTAAACAACTTGATGAATGGAAACTAGGTCTCTTGACTCTCATCATTACCATGAAGCAGCGACGATGGAAACCTAAAGATATATCAGTTATTGATCCAATTAGTGCTGCACTGATGATGCAAAGCCTTGAGAGAGAAATGATTCCTCGAGCCGCTGCCATTGCGCAAAATGTTCTATGCAATTAAGCTGAGTTGTCTTTATTTGATTGCAGGTAGCAGCTTCCTGTAGCAGATAGGTCATATAATGTTTGACGACACAACAAACAATCTCAATGTACATACATGTACATGTAGGTACCAACATCAATCAATCATATCACTACTACTCTACATGTACCAGAAATGTTGGCCTTTCATAAATGAGTAAAAGCCTGTTTCTTTGGGCTGTAATGTAACTTCAGTGTAAGCCAGAATTCTGAAAACAGTTACCATGGCAACTGATGTATTTCTCAGGTTTTCTCAGGTATCTGACCTGAGATGAACCCTGGTTTAACATTTCCAAAGTGGTACGATTTCTCAGGAGTATCGAGCCCGGCGCCAGTACGTGGTATGCCTCTAGTGACTCATTGGTTGCTGGTCTGTAGCAGAATTTCATAGGAATTGAAACTTGCGTCTAGGTTTTCTTCAGAAATGTTCCAACTCCTTCATAGTTCTGAGTCATAGCTATATGAAATTTTATGTTTTTGCAGAAAGAGTGTACACTAGTTTATGTTGAACATGTCTGGGAGTAGAAAACAGAAATACTATGTACACTTTTGCTGCACCTGCTATTCTAAATGTATTAAGAACCACTGGATTGAATGACCACTTCCAACTATTGCACTGTTTGTTTGATAGCCTACAGATGTTTTGCCAACATGGCAACAGTCGATGTTTATTGAATGTCTCTATTTTCACCATTATTCTCTCAGAAAGAATGATTTCTTTTATGTTGCAAACTGGACTTTAATCTTAGTATTTCTTTCTAAAATAATTTGCCATTTCAAAGTAAGTTAATGATGATATTCATCGAATTGAAATCCTATTTCTGAAGTGTAATTTGCTCCGGTGATAATTGCTCAGGACTTTACTTTGTAAAGTAGCGTTAGGGTTGCAATTTGCAATAAGGTTTTAGGGGAGGGTTAGGCTTAGGAATTTGGGGTTAAGGTCAGGTATAGTATTGGGTCCAGGGTGGAAGCGAGATGCTGGTTAGTGTAAGTAATTGTTGAGTAACAATTCTAGCAGGAGCTAGTGTCATACAACCTTGTAAAGACAGTTTGACAAACAGACAAACACTCTCAATCCTGGTGACCTTGTGACTGGCAATCACATTGATTTCCTATTAATAGTAGGTGTACAAACACCTTAGGATACCTGATCAAAACATGAGCAGTCATATCTCCCATGGGAACACTTGACTTGACTCACCCTCAGGGACCATCTTATCTTTCCTCTCTCTCTCTCTCTCTCTCTCTCTCTCTCTCAAGACATGAGAACTCATTGGTGACAGGCAGCATACTATAACAGGATATTTCTATAGTGTAACTGAAACATGGTACTTCAGTTCACATCCCTTGTTCAAGGAATATCTTCTGATTAGGCCCGTCTTCATCAGCTCGAGATTGCCAACTATCCCGCTATTTGTCCAGTGCGTCTTCACCAGCCCAAAGACTTGTTCTATGCGCGAACGCTGAGCAAAGTTTCTCAAACTCAAGTTTCAAGTTTTGAGGTCAAGTCTTGAGCTGATGAGGACGTGATATTTAACTTCAGGGTTATTTCCCAAATCAGAAATAGTGGGCTATTTGGCAATCTCGAGCTGATGAGGACAGGCCTAATAAAGACGCAACTATCACTTGGGGAGAGGCGCTGGGCACAGGAAGTCAAGGTTGATAAATTGCATAATATACTGTACTTCACATCTCATGGTCAAGGAACTTCATAGCATCTCCGTCACAGCCACAGGGGGGAGGGGAGAGGGGAGCAATGAAAATGTTGCCCCTCATATCATGTTGCTCACAAACCTAGCGGAAGGTTCTAGAATACATGTCAATACTATGTTTCTATGCATTTGTTTTTGATAGAAACACTTGATTGTAAGTCAAAGTATCAGCTTTTGACTGAGTCGACTACATTCTAAATGAGATTTACTGTAAAATATGTTCACAATCAAGTTTGATTGATATGTTTGATTGTAAATTTGTGTTAGAAGATCCATTTGTGTGATTACAAAAAATGTTGTTGTCCAATTGAGATATCAATGTTATTTCAGTCAGGCATATTCAACTTGATTCATCTTTGTACATTACCTTTATATCTTTGTAAACAGTATCTTATAAAGAACTCTTATCATTTATTTCACTTGCAGATGCAGACACTGTTCTATAACAACTATAGTGTGGGTGACACAGCATTCACTGGAGACCTGCAGAGATTAGAAGTCCACAACGCCATCACCATGCATCCCGTCAAACGAACACCTTACCTTTATCGTCTCCACAACTACCTCCAGTCGGTCAAGATCAACGATCTGCACATGAAGATCATGACACAGTATCGTGAGATCCAGGAACTCAAGGAACTGCTTCACGAAGACGGTGAGGAATCTGTCACAGCTCTTGATCAGGACGCTCGGCGATACGGGGTGCCTATAAGTCTGAATCAGTACATCCCAGACAGTCATAGAGACGTTATCCCCTGGAATTTCTTCTCGCGGTACGTCTACCACTGTCGTCATGATAGTCCTCGCATGGGTCTCACCCAGTCGGTCAGAACTGCCCTCAAAGACATCGTAATGCAGGTCATGAAGTTGATCAATTCTAATTCCCAGAAAGTTGGCCGGACAATAGAGTACAAAGAAATCCTGTATGGTTACTCCCGTGTCACACCCAATCGTGGAGCAGATTATATCTTAGATTTGTTATTGATTTACAAGAAGCATAGAGGAACGAGTCGTACTCTATCCGTCCGAAGACATGCTTATCTTCATCAGTCTTTTGATAGGATTGAGTTCAAGGAGGAGGAGGATGACTATGCAAGTAATGTTCCTGCTACAGGCGGTTTCCAGAGCTCACTAAGCATCTTTGGTCATAAGACAAACTCAGATGCATCCTCACAACTTGGTCGAAGTCCAGATAGGATAAAGGCTACTATACACTTCATCATGTCTCTGTCTGGGAGGCTAGAAATATTCCAACGGTTTATGAGGAACTACGAACGTGTGTGCTTAAAAACAAATGAAAATACAAAACTACTACTTATTCTCTTTAAGAAGGCAACGGACGATCCTTCAGCAGATATTATAAAGACACTGAATGATTACCAGAAGGTGTACCCTGGTAAGGAAATGAAGATCATACAAGCGCAGGGGGATTTCAGTCGTGGCTTAGCCCTTGAGCTTGGAGCTGGGCAGTATGGACCTGATGCTCTCATGTTCTTTGTAGATGTAGACATGTACTTATCGCAGGGATTCCTTAACCGTTGTCGTATGAACACCAACCGCCGCAAATCCGTCTACTTCCCCGTCGTCTTCAGTCAGTACAGCCCGGACATCGTGTTCGGCTCCGAGCCACGCCAAGGCAGCCAGCTGGTGATCAACAACGATGCGGGTTACTTCCGTCACTTTGGCTTTGGTCTGGTGTGCCTTTACCACGGCGATATGAACGATGTTGGTGGTATGAACAACGCTATCGTGGGTTGGGGAATGGAAGATGTCGACCTCTACGAGAAATTTGTGCAAAGTAACATGACGATATTCCGCGGACCCGACACGGGACTGGTCCACATATATCATCCTATTATATGTGACCCTCGTTTAGAGGCAAAGCAGTACCAAATGTGTATAGGCTCGAGATCGAGCACCTACGGGGCCAATATGCAGCTGGCTAGACTTTTACAAGAAATGTCACATAATAAAAAAGGAGGGAAGAAACCTGATAGTCATGAAGATGAAGATTATGATGGCAGGTAGCATTGACTAAAAACAAGTATCTATTGTAAAGCTTTGCCATGGTGATTCACCACAATGAAAACATAGTTATACTAATGAGTAGCACTTTCCAAAGTTCGGCTATCATCGATTTGACCAATGTATGTAAAAAGTGCAAGGGTAGCTCTTCTATATATTTTTAAAAACCATATTTGAAATCTTATTGCAAGTTTAGCTTGTGAAGATAAAGCTGCATATGCAATTTATTTATTGAAGTGTGTGTTATGATCAGCTAAACTGCAACAGAAAATAGTATTTAGATGCTTAATTTTACCAATTTTGATCAATTTTTCTTCAGGATATTTTACTATTATTCATATCTCAAAGAATTACGGTACATGTAAATACAGATAACGTTCCCTTTTAAAATCATTCATTTTACTTTGACAATTAATATTTCAAAAAATGCTAGTCATAGCTCATACTCATACAAGGTTGATATATTAAGTCTTCATGTATACATGTATCCCCACCTATTGATCTACGTGTGGGTACATCAGCCATCAAAGTATATAAGGTCTCATCCTGTCTATGCATAAATCATTATAACTAAATCATTTATTCTGCATCGTTTTAAAACTCAACTCAAGCTCTTTTGTATTCCATCAAATAGGTGTAATCATCATGGCAAAGCTGATGAAAGTATATATTTATTATATTATTGCTATTATGCCCAAAGTTCACTTTCAAAAAGACATTCATTCCTCTTGTTTGAAAGTACGGTTCAAGATGTGAGAGGAAAAACAAACTCTATGGTGCATAGAAGTACCAAATACATGTGTGTGTTTTACAGATGATCTCTTTATATTAGGCTAAAACTCAATATGAAGCCATCATTATGATTTGTAGCGATTGTTGATATGTGTATGTTGTTTCTGTATAAGTCTGCAAGCTGTAGTATCGTAGAAAACAGTAGTTTTAAAATCCTGCCAATCTGATGCATATTTGAAAGTAACAATTAGTACATTGTCATGCTTTGGCTTGGCGAAGAAGGCTTTCAGAATAATTAAGGTGTGTTATTCAACTACACAAAGAGAAAACTCTTACATTTAATTTTGTTTATAAACTTAAAAGTGAAGCTTGGGTTCTCTGGTAATCATGAAAAATATGTTTTCAACTGTCTCATTCTGTTCATTCTAATATGTAAGAATATCCCATACAATATGGTCCCTGAAAAGGATTGCTCTCTAAATGCCCTCATATTTGAAATACAACAAGAAATAGCTCAACAGGTTTGGACCAAGCTCTCATGTGTAGTCCCATATACCCATTTCTGTGTGCTATGCATTAGTTTTCAGCAACATTAGGTCAATTTCTTATCACTTTAATGATTCCAACCCTCCCAGTATACATGATCATTTCTGGATAGTTTCATGATCCACAGCGTAATCTTAGAAGTTTAAGAACCTGCAGGTATTTATTGAAGACTGCCTTTAAGATGGTGAAACATACATAACATAAGTCATGACAACATGATCTAACAGACAGACACATGGTTTGATGTGGTAAACTTCATTTCCTGTGCAACAGGTTCTTGATCCATAACAATGGGCCTCACTCACATGTTCCTCTTGATTCAATTCAAACTCAAAGTAGAGAGAGAGAGAGAGAGCACCTGTTCGAACATTCAAGTTGATGTTCACCAAAGAGTGACAAAATTCCTAACTAACGACTTATCAACTCATCAACTCCCAAAAGTGGATGTTATGATGAAAGAGGATTGCACATTGATGTTTTCAAGCAATGCATGATACAGGTATGCAGTGTTTGGTACTTTTAGGTAAGCCTTATCATTGATCTCAATAATGAACATTTACCATCAACTCTAATTGATTGGCTGCGCCAAAGATTCACATATTGTATTTCCCCTTCAAACTGGACAATGTAGTATTACATGTATGGTTGACAATTTAGTGAGTTTTGCACATTATTTTCAAGATTTCCATTTTCCAGTAAAATTCTTTCTACAATGTATATTTCAGGAGAGAGAAAAAATAAATCAAAATAGTACAACTCCATCAAAGTTTACAATTGTTCCCTTGTACCAACACAAGAGGGCAGTCTTTGCTAAAAGTCACAATGTGGTGGGCAGGATAGTTGTGACATGAATGTGCTCGAGCGCTAAATCATTGAGCTCCAAAAATAGTTCCAATTTAAGAGTAGATTTGCACATCTGTTTTTTTGTTTTTAGTTGTACTGAGTCACTTCTTGTAGTTGTGGTGATGCCAAGACATGATAATTATAGTGAACTTTGATGTACTTTTTGACATGGATATTTTTGTAAAAATTAACAAGCAACTGGTTTGTTCATGGGAAATTTTATGAAAACTGTATATATTCTATTTAAATTTTGTAAGATTTATGAGATTATCTATGTAGATAAACATTGTATAGTTAGGTAGGTTAGAAGAAGAGATTTATTTTTTCTTTCTTTTTAAGGGGAGAGACTGTAGTAAACACTCATATTTCTGACCAACAAAACAGAGATGGTGGGTGCATTATGTCCCTTTTCTTTAAAGAGAAGGTTGAGTTCTGGTCAAGCGATTGTATTGTGAAAGAAA